GCTGGTAAGAGCAAAACCCGTGAGGGTCATACGTCGCTTGGAAAGTGGAAAAGGTGAGATTAATAAGATTAGATCTGTGACAAGTAAAGGTCGTTCCGGTTCCTGGGAACACAAGCTCGTCACCGACATCAAGGCTCCAACTCCGAAAGGTTATATAAACGATCAATCAATTGCAATTTACACGTCTCACCCCAGCCCGTGTGTGGTGTGTGTATGTGTGTGTATGTGTGTGTATGTGTGTGTATGTGTGTGTATGTGTGTGTGTGTGTGTGTGTGTGTGTGTGTGTGTGTGTGTGTGTGTGTGTGTGTGTGTGTGTGTGTGTGTGTGTGTGTGTGGGGTGTGTCTGTCTGTCTGTCTGTCTGTCTGTCTTGGGTATGGCAAGCTAGTACACAAGACTTCTTGCTCAGTGTAGTGTACTATGTTTCTGCTATACCAGCTGTGTAATGACTTAGTCATAGTTACCAACACCACTGAGCCACACAACTACTGTGTTGAAAAATGATACCCAAGTTTTAAAGTGAAGTGCGGGATGGAAATCTCAGTACCGTAGCTGAAACAATTTACAACACAGAGTGGTAATCGAAAGTAAACGATGTTTAGGCCCACATTGAACCATTATCATCCTCCCAATCACAATATGCCCACCTATCTTTCAGAGTGCAGGTACTGTACTTCCCACCTCGTCTACTTAACCATTTTCATGAATCCCTTCATATATGTTTACTTTTGACAACATGTCGAATCCCAAAAGTTCACATGTTTTCACTCTGAGAGTCAAATATATCTGATGAATGCTCAAGCAACTACCTAACTACCACTAAAATCCTCCTTCACACTTTCCATCCAATCCTTCCTGGGACGTCCCTACACCTGTTGCAGTTTTATAACTAAAATGTGAGCACGCCTCCAGCAAGACAGTGATGGAGTGAATGATGATGAAAATTTTTCTTTTTCGGGCCACCCTGCCTTGGTGGGAAACGGCCGATGTGTTAGGAAAATAATAAAAATAATTCAATCTATGTTTCTTTGTGCTTTAAAGGTCCAAACCATCTCAAGCCATCCTCTTCCACTCTCTAAATTATACCATTCATGCCACCCCACCCTCTCTAATTTCTGCACTCATTATTCTCTTGGTAACATTTAAGTGTTATATTGATCTTCACACAACTCCACTTCCTCCAGCTTCCTCCTCCTCGCTGCAATATTCATTCTAAAGTACTGACGCCACTAAATTCTGATATAATTACTCCTGTTTTGCAGACTCATCACCCCAGCCACATTTATTTCTCCACAGAAATGATACATAAAATTCCGTTGGGAAAACTGAAAGCGTCCCGCAAATAAAATAGAAAATATTAAAAAATTATTATGTTACATAATGCCACTGTGTTTGTTTTTTCCATCCAGTTACGTGAAATTCAAAGATATCCATTGAATGATTTTCTGAGTTTGCTTATTTACTCGCTGATATAATGACAAGATATAACACAGCGTAAAGTGGCTTCCAGAATACTTTATTGCCTACATTAGCCAGGTAAAATGACACAAGTGCAACTAACGCGACATTTTACTGTGGCAACGTTTCGCTCTCCAGGAGCTTCGTCAAGTCTTTACAGCTTGACAAAGCTCCTGGAGAGCGAAACGTTGTCACAATAAAAGGTTACATTAGTTGCACTTGTGTCCTTTTACCTACCACATTGTCGGTAATTCTATCAACATTATTACACATTAGCGAGGAAAACACAGGGTGTAGCACAAGCTTGTATTGCTACGACGTTTCCCTCTGTCAAGAAATTTATACCTAGTTACTGTTTATGGAAACAAAATAAGGCTGTTTGGTCACCTCTGACCTGATCGAGTTAGTAACTTCCCGAGGGAATTAAAGATAACTTACTAACCCATTTTGCTGACAGTTTTCCATCTTAAAGACGACTTTATACTGATCAGTGACCCAGGAGAGTTAATAATCCAGGATAACCCGAGAAAATATCAAGCCGTCTGGCTTATTACCATCGAGTCTATTTTAAGATTCTCTCCCCAGGACACAACCCACAACAGTGGGCTAACTTCTAGGTATTTATTTACTGCTAGACAGCATGGGCAGCAGGTCTTAGCGGACACCCATACGTGTCTCCCATCCCAAGACTCAACCAGGGTTTTTTGAGTTGTAAGCTGGACGCACTCCTACTATGTTACGAAGTTTTCAATAAGTTTTCCTCTTAGTGATCATAATGCTGTACCTCGTTTAGCATAAAAACATACCTGGTACAGCATAATGCTTGACGTTATATCTTGCAACACGACTCTCGTTTGTATCCGTTATTCTACGGATAAAGGCCTTTATTAATGTCGTTGTCTGTGTTTTTAATTTTCCCCCAATGATTCCAGACTAATGGGATAGCCAGGACGTACCCCCTCCCCCCCCACAAGGACTTGATAGTGTACTTGATTACTGACACAGTGCTGCTTGCTTTGCGTATGCAGGAAATGAGTGACTAATAAAATGACACTATTAAGACGTTTTCTGGATATTGGGGGGCCTACTTCCTAGACCTTTTGTGTATCCGAACGCTATTGAGATACCGTCCGCAGGATGGATATGGTGTGCACAATAAATTAGCCGCTTCGGCGACAAAATCTAATCAATCTTGTAGCAACTACATCAGTTATATCTTTGTTATATATATATATATATATATATATATATATATATATATATAATATATATATATATATATATATATATATATATATATGCAATAAGATCACAGTAAACAGGTGATTTCAGAATATGCAAAACAACCACTCTGAAAGAATAGAGAAATTCCAAGCGCTTTCGTGACTACTCACATTATCAAGGAACTATGATAGTTCCTTGATAATGTGAGTAGTCACGAAAGCGCTTGGAATTTCTCTATTCTTTCAGAGTGGTTGTTTTGCATATATATATATATATATATATATATATATATATATATATATATATATATATATATATATATATATATATATATATAAAATATATATATAATATATATATATAGGGATTGGCAGAGAGCATGTATAGTTCCTTTATATAAAGGGAAGGGAGACAAAAGAGATTGTAAAAATTACAGGGGAATAAGTTTGCTGAGTATACCAGGAAAAGTGTACGGTAGGGTTATTATTGAAAGAATTAGAGGTGAGACAGAGAGTAGGATTGCCGATGAGCAAGGAGGTTTCAGAGTGGGTAGGGGATGAGTAGATCAAGTGTTTACATTGAAACATATATGTGAACAGTATTTAGATGAAGGTAGGGAAGTTTTCATTGCATTTATGGATTTAGAAAAGGCATATGATAGAGTGGATAGAGGAGCAATGTGGCAGATGTTGCAAGTATATGGAATAGGTGGTAAGTTATTAAATGCTGTAAAGAGTTTTTATGAGGATAGTGAGGCTCAGGTTAGGGTGTGTAGAAGAGAGGGAGACTACTTCCCGGTAAAAGTAGGTCTTAGACAGGGATGTGTAATGTCACCATGGTTGTTTAATATATTTACAGGTGAGGTTGTAAAAGAAGTAAATGCTAGGGTGTTGGGGAGAGGGGTGGGATTAAATTATGGGGAATCAAATACAAAATGGGAGTTGACACAGTTACTTTTTGCTGATGATACTGTGCTTATGGGAGATTCTAAAGAAAAGTTGCAAAGGTTAGTGGACGAGTTTGGGAGAGTGCGTAAAGGTAAAAAGTTGAAAGTGAACATAGAAAAGAGTAAGGTGATGAGGGTATCAAATGATTTAGATTAAGAACAATTGGATATCACATTGGAGAGAGGGAGTATGGAAAAAGTAAATGTTTTTAGATATTTCGGAGTTGACGTGTCAGCGGATGAGGTTAACCATAGAATTGGTGAAGGAAAAAAGGTGAGTGGTGCTTTGAGGTATATGTGTAGACAAAAAACGTTATCTATGGAGGCAAAGAAGGGAATGTATGAAAGTATAGTAGTACCAACACTCTTATATGGGTGTGAAGCTTGGGTTGTAAATGTTGCAGCGAGGAGGCGGTTGGAGGCAACGGAGATGTCCTGTCTAAGGGCAATGTGTGGTGTAAATATTATGCAGAAAATTCGGAGAGTGGAAATCAGGAGAAGGTGTGGAGTTAATAAAAGCATTAGTCAGAGTGCTGATGAGGGGGTTGTTGAGGTGGTTTGGTCATTTATAGAGAATGGATCAAAGTAGAATGACATGGAGAGCGTAGAAGGAAGGCGGGGTAGGGGTCGTCCTCGAAAAGGTTGGAGGGAGGAGGTAAAGGAGATTTTGTGGGCGAGGGGCTTGGACTTCCAGCAAGCGTGCATGCGAGTGTTAGATAGGAGTGAATAGAGACGAATAGTTTTTGGGACCTGACGAGCTGTTGGATTGTCAGCAGGGTAATATTTAGTGAAGGGATTCAGGGAAACCGGTTACATTTAATATATCCGGACTTGAGCACTGGAAATGGGAAGTACAATGCCTGCACTTTAAAGGAGGGATTTGGGATATTGGCAGTTTGGAGGGATATGTTGTGTATCTTTACATATGTTTGTAAACTGTTGTATCTGGGCGCCTCTGCAAAAACAGTGATTATGTGTGAGTGAGGTGAAAGTTTTGAATGATGATGAAAGTGTTTTCTTTTTGGGGATTTTCTTTCCTTTTGGGTCACCCTGCCTCGGTGGGAGACGGCCGACTTGTTGAGATATATATATATATATATTTATATATATATATATATATATATATATATATATATATATATATAATATATATATATATATATATATATATATATATACCTACACACATAAATATATATATATATATAATATATATATATATATATATATATTGTTGTGACTGTATCTTAAACTGTTATACTTCATTGTTTTAAGCAGTGTTCGCAATATTTAAATGTTTAGCTTCATCGTATAAAAGGTAGCTTTAACAACATTTTTAAAGGGTCATGAAAACTAACATTAAGATTCTCTAGTTTCAGGATGTGTCCTGATCAGTCTCCTGTCTCTATCCTCCGCCCAAGGACGAAAGGTGAGCCTATCCTTAAACCTTCTAGCTTCATCCCTTTCCCCTCATGTGTTGCATTCCACCATCCATTTATTGCTGCACTTTATCTCTGCTTCAGACTAGTCTTGCAAGATGTTGGTAATGTTTAGACACTACCTTGCAGATTTTTTTCATTCTGGAAACATGGGAGAGTGAGAGACTGTTGCAAACATGTGATGGTGGAAGTCTGTTGCAAACATGGGAGAGCGAGAAACTGTTACAAACATGGGAGAGTGAGAGACTATTGCAAACATGGGAGAGTGAGAAACGGTGTTGCAAACATGGAAGTGAGAGAGAGAGAGACGGTGTTGCAAACATGGAAGTGAGAGAGAGACGGTGTTGCACACATGGAAGTGAGAGACAGAGACGGTGTTGCTAACAAGTGAGAGAGAGAGAGACGGTGTTGCAAACAAGTGAGAGAGAGAGACGGTGTTGCAAACATGGAAGTGAGAGACGGTGTTGCAAACATGGAAGTGAGAGAGAGAGAGACGGTGTTGCAAACATGGAAGTGAGAGAGAGACGGTGTTGCAAACATGTGAGTGAGAGAGACGGTGTTGCAAACATGGAAGTAAGAGAGACGGTGTTGCAAACATGGAAGTATGAGAGAGACGGTGTTGCAAACAAGTGGGAAGTGTAGATGAGAGAGAGAGACGGTGTTGCAAACATGGAAGTGAGAGAGACGGTGTTGCAAACATGGAAGTGAGAGAGAGACGGTGTTGCAAACATGGAAGTGAGAGAGACGGTGTTGCAAACATGGAAGTGAGAGAGACGGTGTTGCAAACATGGAAGTGAGAGAGAGAGACGGTGTTGCAAACATGGAAGTGAGAGAGACGGTGTCGCAAACATGGAAATGAGAGAGAGACGGTGTCGCAAACATGGAAGTGAGAGAGAGAGAGACGGTGTCGCAAACATGGAAGTGAGAGAGAGAGAGAGACGGTGTTGCAAACATGGAAGTGAGAGAGAGAGAGACGGTGTTGCAAACATGGGAGTGAGAGAGAGAGACGGTGTTGCAAACATGGAAGTGAGAGAGAGAGACGGTGTTGCAAACATGGAAGTGAGAGAGAGAGAGAGAGAGACGGTGTTGCAAACATGGAAGTGAGAGAGAGAGAGAGAGACGGTGTTGCAAACAAGGAAGTGAGAGAGAGAGAGAGAGAGACGGTGTTGCAAACATGGAAGTGAGAGAGAGAGACGGGTGTTGCAAACATGGAAGTGAGAGAGAGAGAGAGAGAGACGGTGTTGCAAACATGGAAGTGAGAGAGAGAGAGAGAGAGACGGTGTTGCAAACAAGGAAGTGAGAGAGAGAGAGAGAGAGAGACGGTGTCACAAACATGGGAGGGAACACAAGAGTAAAGGTGGATTGTCGAAAACTTGAAACAGTCCACGCCGAGGTTAACTGTAATGTACTATCTACTGTTATCCAGACTGGAGACTGTTTACTATTATGTAAATAGTTAAGACAAGGATAGTATGCTACTGGGCAAAACTTCGGGGAGGGGGAACCACTGTGGTAATAAAGGAAGCCATTGTGTGAGTGAAATACTGTTAGTTACTAATTTAGATACAATAATGTAGACGATAGTTACTGAAGTAGATACTACAGTAACGTAGATGATAGTTACTGAAGTAGATACTACAGTAACGTAGATGATAGTTACTGAAGTAGATACTACAGTAACGTAGATGATAGTTACTGAAGTAGATACTACAGTAACGTAGATGATAGTTACTGAAGTAGATACTACAGTAACGTAGATAATAGTTAGTGTGGTTGATACCAGAATAATAATTAATAATAATTAATAATGATTAACTAATAATAATAAATAATGATTAACTAAGAATAATAATGCAGGAAATAGGTTGATGCGAGGGTGTGAATGTGTTTAATGATAGACACTTATGCTAATTAACTAGCGTAGAACAGCACCATAATAAGAGTGAGAATTACAGAGAGTTAGAAGAGAACGTATTGACTCCACCATCAGTAATATTGCTCACTTTTCTATATGACTCGTGAAGCATCACTTCACATATGTGAGGGGGAATCATGTCATGGGTGTTTGGGAAAGAACCTCATATATGTGAGGGGGAATCATACACAGGTGTTTGGGAAAGAACCTCATATGTGTGAAGGGGAATCATACCACAGGTGTTTGGGAAAAAAAACTCATATGTGTGAGGGGGAATCATGCCAAAGGTGTTTGGGAAAGAACCACACATGTGTGAGGGGGAATCATACCACAGGTGTTTGGGAAAGAACCTCATATGTGTGAAAGGGAATCATACCACAGGTGTTTGGGAAAGAACCCCATATGTGTGAGGGGGAATCATGCCACAGGTGTTTGGGAAAGAACCACACATGTGTGAGGGGGAATCATACCACAGGCGTTTGGGAAAGAACCTCATATGTGTGAAGGGGAATCATACCACAGGTGTTTGGGAAAGAACCTCATATGTGTGAGGGGGAATCATGCCACTGGTGTTTGGGAGAGAACCTCGATAAGTGTCCGGGGCACAAGACTGTTCGACAGCCTCCCACCAGGCATAAGGGTAATTACCAAGAGACCCCTGGCTGCCTTCAAGAGGGAGCTGGATCAGCCGGGCTCTGGTTCGTATGCTTAACTACGTGCGGCTAGCAGTAACAGCCTGACTGATCAGTCTCTGATCCACCGGGAGGCCTGGTCATGGACCGGGCCGCAGGGGCGTTCATCCCCGGAATACCCTGCAGGTAGGCAGACAGGTGTAAGGGGAATAATGTCACAGGTATTTGGGAAAGAACCTCATAGGTGTGAGAAGAATCGTGTCACAGGTGTGAGGATAATCATGTCACAGATGTGAGGGGGATCATGTCACAGGTGTGATGCCATCATGTCACAGGTGTGAAGGGAATCATGTCACAGGTGTGTGAGATGGAATCATGACACAGGTGTGAGTGGGGAGGAGGACACAGTGTGTGTGTGTGTGTGTGTGTGTGTGTGTGTGTGTGTGTGTGTGTGTGTGTGTGTGTGTGTGTAATTCTGTATGGATCATACAGTATAAGAAGTGATGAAGGCTCGATCCTCTGTTAACAGTGGCTTGATCTTTCATCAGTGAGATTATTGGTTTTCGTGTGTTACTTTCAGTTGTGAAAGTTCATGTGATGGTAGTGAATCAGTGTGAGGTCTAAGGTTTTCCTTGGTTGACAGGTTGGGTCACCATCGACGCCGTCACAGGGACAGAGGATGGACCCCCGTCACTCTGTGCTGCCCCTCGTCAGGTTCCAGTGTGTGGGTCGTCCTTCAGGCTACTACGGTGATATGGACTTTGGCTGCACTGTCTTCCACTACTGCACTGACTCTGCTCAGAGGTTCACCTACCAGTGCATCGACGGCCTCAAATTTAACGAGGTTATTATTATATTCATGGGAATCGCTAAACCCTTAGTCGTACAGTTCTTGGGGAATGAGAATTAATCAGGATTGATCCAAGAAAGAGGTCATTCCCAACTCCTTGAATCAAGAGCCCTTCACCAGAATCAAAACATCTCCCCCCCCCTCCCCGCTTTGAAAGGAAAAAAAAAGAAAAACTTCAAAAATTACTCTTGAGATTTGGCTCATCCTGACTATTTTGGCGTATCTCAAGTCTTGTGTTTAATTATTTGCTTGTCTGTCTAAATTAAGACCTTTGCTAATCATTACATCAATGTATATACCTATGAATTGAAAGTTGTGAGACTACCAGTGTAATTCAGTCCAGGAGACCGAGGGTTACCCATGACCAACCCAGATTGTCAGAGCATGTCACAGGTCACCCAACACGAATTTTCTATCTTTAAGATAGTCTGATTAATTTAATAATAGTTATGATATTGAAGTGATCAATTATACTTTGGCAATTCAGTAGTAAGGAAACCCCTCCCCCCTCCCCCACAAAAAAAAAATACTCCAAACCCACCTTAATAACCAGACGAGTTTTGTTGAAACTTAACAATTCACATAAACTTTTCACACAGTCGGAATTAGCAAACATGCTTTGTCTAGTTACTTCAGTATTTTGACTAAGAAAAGGTAACGTATGGTTAGCAAGTCTGAAGTATTACACAAATATATTGCCGTTTCTAAATAATTCATTGACAAATACATACAAGTCAAGCATAATCCAACTAGCTTTTCATTATACTGTTATATATAAACTTTTATCCATTCGTTCTTCAGCATGCCTTGACAATACATAAAATATTACAAAAATGTTGACATCTCTATGATAGCTCCATATGATTCTTTTTTTTTTTCTCTCTCTCTCTCTCTCTCTCTCATGGACCCACATCAGGTTACATCACACAAGAAGGATCATCAGGTCGCTTTCTTCATTTGAGCTTTGACTATGCGATCCCTTTCCTTACTTGCTTTCCTTCAGTCCTTGAAAATGACTTCAATATCATTCTTTTCCCTCATGTCTTAGTCATTTACAGCATTATCATACCACATGTACACACACCTTCCTCAATTTTGTCAAGGCTGGGAACCGCAGCAATCATGGTACTAGGGGGAGAGAGCACAACTTTGTAGTACCCACAGTCAGTGGCCAGGCTTCAAACACCTTTTATTGTACAGCAATAAAGGAATGGAACAGACTGCCTCCACATGTCAAAGCCAGTCATAGCATGAACCAGTTCAAGAAGAGTGCCAAAAGGTGTCTGATGAATGTAGCGACAGAAAGGGAGGAGAATGATTTTTTATTTTTTTTAGTTAACACTCATATAAATATAAATAACTCATTTTACCTTATTCCTAGTATATCTCCTTTATAGTATAATAATAAGACATTGTCTCCTTTATAGTATAATAATAAGGTATTAAAAGGATCCCAGTGTAAAGTGTCACTGACTTTTTTGGGTTATCCTAGGTTCTCTACACATATGCTGCTATGTATGATAATTATTTAACTGAATTTGTGCATACCTGAATAAACTTACTGACTTACTTTATTTTCCATTACTTCTGCAGGTAACGACGTCATGCAGCGCTGGTTTCTTTGGTGACTGTACTCACACAGGGACCGTGGGACCGACAGGAAGCAACAAGTCTGATGATTCGGCTCCAGTAAAGAGCTTTCAGAACCTCCCGGCGCTACTGAGGACGGATGAAGACGACTCAAGGCGACGCTACGACCCAGAGCTCGATGTGGACTATAATTATGAGTATTTCGACACGGACAACGTTCAGCCAGTTCTTCAAGCCCCTCATCCCGTCGCCTCAAAGCGCATGATTAAAAACACTAACGTGAAGCTGCCGTCTTCTGGGGTGTGGGACAACAGCATGACATCAGCACTATCAGCTTTCGCTTCCCTGGCCAACATACCCTACGACAATCCTACCACTACCAAGGACGAGATTGTCGACCGGACCGACAACGTCGACGGAGTGGACTACGTCGACACCATCGACCGGGCATTTATCGATCTCCCACCACAGCGCAGACGACTACCCCAAAGGCAAAGTAGCAGTCATTTCTTCCAGTTACCATTCTTCCAGGGAAAACCCAAGAAGTCACCACGTGTTCCCCAGCGGACCGCAAGCAAAGAACAAAGTTTCGCTCGGCCGTGGGCATCCTATCCTCCCCCGCCCACTGGTCCTCACAACCCACACACAGATTCCACATATGAAGAGTCCTCTGATTACCGGCGGCAACCACAGCGATATGACTTTGACGATTCCGTTAATGATGATGAGGATAATCCTTACAATTCTTCCGAGGTGAGCCAAACAACACCAGACACTTTCCGCCCTTCCTCTCGCATTACCAACGATCCTGATGAGTTCCAGCCTGTCACACCTGCTTCTGGCCCAGCCGCTTCACGCGAACCAACAGAACTAGTTCGCCCCAACAGAGACGCCATTCATCAGACGGGGCACGGAGCTTTGTCTTCTAGTTTCCAGTCATTCTCACCCTCATCCACTCCTTTCAGATCACAAGCGAGCTTCCCTGCGCAGAGCTCCATTGGGGTTCCGAAAACGTCCAGGACCGTCCAATCGAATCCACCAAATTTCCTCTCAACACCTAGCTTCCCTTCTTCAGGTAACTTTGTGTTTAATCAACCTCCCATTCATCCGGCGGTATTCAATCGACAATTCCATCAAACGTCTGGTTTCGGTGCACCACCAGCCCCTAGACAGCAAGTGGACAACTTCGGTCGTCCGTCATCGTCTCAGCAAACAGACAGTTTCGGTCGTCCATCGTCATCACATCACCAAGTGGACAGCTTCGGTCGTCCCCCATCTCAACGTCAGGCGGACAGTTTTGATCATCCCCCATCTCAACACCAAGTGGACAGCTTCGGTCGTCTGGCATCGCCTCAACAAGTAGATAACTCAGGTCGTCCGTTATCATCTCAACAGCAGGTGGATAACTTCGGTCGTCCGAAATCACCCCAACATCAAGTGGACACTTTCGGTCGTCCACCACATCAACAGCAAGTGGACAGTCTGGGTCGTCCTCCATTGCCCCAACATCAAGTGGATATCTTCGGTCGTCCGTCATCTACCCACCAACAAGCGGACACTTTCGGTCGTCTGTCACCACCTACCCAGCCAGATCCACGACCAGTACAAAGTTTTAATCACCAACATGTTCAAGGTTTCGCTCACTCGCCAACACCCCAATCAGTGTCAAGTTTCAGGAAACCGTCAGCCTCTCCTCCAGGACACAGCTTCAGTCAAGCAGCGGCTCCTCCTCAACCAGAAACAGTTTTCAGACGACCAACCTTCCCTCCAAACTTTGCCCAGCAGTCGCCTAGTTTTGGTTTTGTTCATCCTCCACCACAGCAGAGGCCACCACAGTCATTCGTCAGACCAACACCATCTCCTCCGTTTACAGTCCAGACTCCTGCCACTCTTGGAATACAAGGGCTCTTCACTCCAAGCTTCCAGCAAGATAGACCCACACATCATGGCAACACTGTTCCACAACCTGTCCAGCATTCTTTCCAGGACTCTACAGAATCACCTTCTTCGACTGTGTCAACCTTTCCTCAGGCCAAGGGTACTTCAGTTACTGAAGAGTCCCAACAGTCTCCACGATTATCTCACCGTGACAGAGTCTTCAACTTCTTCAGGGCAACTGTAGCACCTTCTGCCTCCGAAGCCTCTGATGTGTTAAATGCTTTTGATGCTGACAATGACGTATTTAATAAACCTGAAGATCCTCAGAAAGATGAAGAACCTGAAGACCAAAATACTGACCGACCAGCTGTTGAGCAAAGACCCAGTGCAAGACGCAGACCTAACAGCAACAAGCAGGAGCAACAGCAGCAGCAGTCAGTCCGTAGACGGCCATCGAGACCACGAAGACCAATTCAGCAACCCACCACTCCTTCCACCCTAATAACAGGCCTAGAAAACTCTGAATTCCACAATCCATTCTTGCAATCGAATGAAAGGCTGCCGTCATTTACTAGATTACAGCCACAACCCGTTACCGAAGAGACGTCAGAAAAGCCATTTGTTTTCCCTACGTCGCCGGCCAGTCAGATACGAGGAGAATTCCCAAGGCTTCCTGGCATAAACATCGATCAAGAGAGTAGTATATTCCAACCACAACCCGGGATATTCCACCCTAACCTAGGTCCAGCTGGCATCTCTGAAGAGAATCACTTCGATAACAACGTTCATCCTCAGGGTAACATTAATGATGATACTTTACCAGATATTATCAACGCCGTAGAGAGCATGGAAGAAGAAACTAATATCATTCTACCTATCAAAAATGATTACGAAAATGCTGGAGAAGAACCTAGAGACGTTACAGAATCAGCCGTCACTACAACCACTCCAGAACCTCCCACGGAAGTTAGCAGACCACTCACACGGCGTCGTCCTAATATTAGAAATCGCTTGCGTACACGTCTGACCTCGCGAACAACTACTCTAGCTCCTGTACAGACTGAACCAGAGAAGCCAGATGAGTACGAGCCTGACCTTCCTGAAGAGTATCCAGAGATCACTGACTCGTCCGTGAGAGCAACGACTACTGAACCCACGACCACTCTCCCACCTTTCAGGAAAAGGATTCAAACACGCTTAAACCGACTGAAGAATAGTAGGCAAAACAACGCACCAGTCACCCCTCAAAGCATCACAACAGAACAGCCGGAAAGTGAGGAGGACGCGCTCACAACCACTACTGCCAACAGAAAACGACCTTCATCCAGAAGAGGAGGATTAGATCCAGAGAGGTTCAAAAGGTACAGAAACAGACTAAGAGGCATAACCGCTACAAGTGACAATCCTGAGCCAGATCTCGAGAGCACAACAACAGAAAATCCTTTGAATGCTGCATCATTCACACCTAATACCAGAAACAGAAGAATTAACAGGTTCAGACCCAAGTCATCTCAACGTGAAGGAGATAACGTTCTCGAAGTAAAAGAAATCCTGAGAACAGATCAAGAAGTCCAGGAAACCTCTCGGTCACTCGTTCACAAAGAACCGAGCTTCGGACAGCTGTCCTCGCAGTTACACACGTCTTCTGCAGAAACGAGAAATATCCAGGAGTCTCGTGGCTCATCTGCGACACCAAACCAAAGTTCTCTCCCTACGCCTGAACAGCCCAAGAAGGTGGAGAGTGAGAGAGGCGAGGCTGGTGGTGACACCTCTCCCAGGTCACTTCAACAACCTGAGCATGACACAGATGTTGCCCCAGGTGACGAAACTGGCAGGAAGATCATCAATCCTGATTTCAGGGCTCGTTTCAGAGAATTTTTGAAGAACAGAAAGCATCAGCTAAGTGCTCGTTATAGGAAAACCGAGACGCCTGACATCGTAGAAGCCGAAGACAGCTCTGATAAGGAATTACCAGAAGCTTTCAACCCAATTTTCCCAGAGAGAAACCCACAACAAGGTCAGAACCTACGAGAAGCGAGAGCGAAATTCTTATCTAACGGACAACTAAGTGATGAAGAAAGATCTAGTCGGAGAATCCCATTCAGACCGTTTAGAAATAACTTTTCAGGTAAGATTAAACCGGCACAAGAGGAAAGTGAGGAACCTGTGGAAAAGACAAGGGAGGGTGAAGAGGGTGAGAAACATGATACCCTTCTTAAGGAAGGTGAGGAACATAAGAAAGATGATGCTCTTATTAGGGAGGGTGAGGAACATAAGGATGATAGTCTTATTAGAGAGGGTGAGGAACATAAGGATGATAGTCTTATTAGAGAGGGTGAGGAACATAAGGATGACACTCTTCTTAGGGAGGGTGAAGGAGGTGAAGAACATGTACTGGAAGAGACTATTACTAGAGAAATCTCCTCTAAGCCACAAGAAGCAGAGATCGAATCACAAGAGAAAAAGGAAATTTCTGCGAGTCCTCCAGACGAGGGACCAGGGTTGGAGTCGTCGGGAGGGTTCAGACCTCTCCACAGTCCATTTACTTCAAATGGTGAGCCTTCCCCAGCTCCTGTATATCACCACCAAGAGCCAGAAATAATAACAGCGTCACCAGTTTCGGAAGAAGGGGGCATAGTCATGTCTATCACAGTATCCGCTAATCTCGGAGGTCATCCAGAAGAGCCTGTCACTGAGGCTCATGAACATCCAATAAATCCAGAACCGAAGATTAACACGCCATCGGAAATAATTGTCAAGGAGATTGTCACAGGCTCTTCTTCAGACAAAGAAAGTAAGAGTGGAGAAGCAAGAGACTTACAGACAGCCGCCTCGGAAGAAAGTCCTTCTCCACTTCACTCTGCCTCATCTCAAACCTCCGCTGAAGAAAATTCTGAAAGCTCCCCAGCGGCAGATGAGTCACAGGAACCCCCGGTACTTATCACAGTTCAACCTAGACAACTCGAAGCATCGAATATAGCCGTCCCATTACAAGAGCTGCCATCCCCAGCGCCCTCAGTGTCCGAGGACTCTCCTGAGGGCAAGGATTCAGACGACATTCCTGAGATCCATGTACCACGCGCGTCGAAGCCAATTTTCAACTTGAGCGGCACTCTTGGCCGTGCCAAGGAAGCAGAGACGTCAGCGCCGGACTCTGACAGTGAACAGCCTGCAGACACGCTGACGCCTACCTCTTTCTCCATCACTATGGCAACAGACCAGCCAAAACTACCCTTAGAAATGTTACTGCCACTCTTTGGTACACGGTGAGAGAGCTTTCTGATAAATCACTAAAATCATTTATATTATATATATTTACTTATCTAATAAAATATATGTAATCGGTACTTAACCTTTATTCTGAAATATCAGATATGTACTCTGATGTATCAGGACAATGGATGTATCATTGCAATGACTCAAACTGTGACCATAAACATGGTAACTATCCCTATATATGATAATAGTTAATTAAACTACCGAAAAAATACTTTGATGTAAATCTAGAAAGAACACATACACACAAAGAGGACTTGGCCACACTACAAGGTCATATTCAATGCAAAAGCGAGAGAATACCGGTGAAGAGGCTTCAAACCTTCGAAAAAGGAGAATTGCCATGAAGTTATCGAAGTACAGAGCATATCAGGAGGTGGATAAAAAAAATAGTCAGTGGAGTGAGCGAGTCTTCCGAACTTAAAAAACGACTTTCAGGAACTCCAACATAAAAATAATTTTGGACTCTATACACGACATTTGTCAGGCCTACCACAGAGTATAACCATATGCTTCAAGCATATGGTTATACTCTATGGAAAGTACAGTGATTTGCAACAATACTGATCCCAAATCCGAGAGGGCTAACGTACGAGGAAGAGCTAAAGGAAGCAAACCTGTTGACCTTTGATGAAAAAAAATAACTAAGAGATACATCATAACAACGTACAAGACACTCACAGGACTTAATAGAGGGACAGAGACAGTCTGTTTGAAAAAAAAAAAACTTGAACTAGAAGTTCAGAGCAAATAAATGACAGCTTAATGGTGATCAGGAAGTGGATTGGCTCAGACGAGAAGACGAGCAGCAAACACCACAGAGATTTAATAATAGATACAATAGAGCCCATGAAACAAGAACTTTAGAAACCCAAGAGGCAGAACCAGGAGATGAGACACAACCCTTGCAGCCACAAATAGATGAGCATACAAAACACACACAAATACATACTAATCTACAAATATGACTTGCAATAAGTAATTCAAACTATATGAATATGTTAGCCAATGTTGCCGAGTTTATGCAAGACAAGCAACAAAACAATAGACTTGTTAAATCACAGAACGGGAGAGGACTCGAACCCATGGCAAGTGAGTTCTGAAACTCACAGGCCAGTGTGTTAACCACTGGTCCACACCGTTCTAACAAGTTTCATCCAACTATGTATATTACTATACACCACAGGAATGTTAACTTGGGCCACCACTGTCACCACAAGTGCAGGTTTTTCCAGATGAATCCCACACCAGCGTGGCTGTGGCGAGCTCTAGCTGAAGTCCCCTCAAAGCTGCCATCAAGTTCACAATCGCATTATTACGATTTGGTAAGTCAAAAATAAACTTGTTTTGGTGGCTGTGCGAAACGAGAAAGGTATCCCAAATATCCCATAAACCCAGACCCTCCAACTCAATACACGGAAAAGGAACAGTGTGCGTAGTTTCTAACGCAGTTAAATAACACTGAGCAGAGAAGACATTCAAAAGTTATTACAATGAAATTATCCCTAATTCTTCAAGAAATACATCAAACTAGCGCCTATACTACCCAAAATCTATCCAAACTTTGCACTAAGTAAGACACGACAGTTTGGAAGGTTTACAGTTAATCAGAACATGCACTCATTAGTTATCTCGCGAAAACCAATATCCAAATTTATTTAATGAAATTAGAAAATTAGGACCTTCACTGCCCAATAACTATACGAACTTTGAGCAAAACACAACATTTTAAGTTTAAAGTTGTTTAACTAGTTGCACACTCAAATTACTGCACGGAAAACAACTGCCCCACAATTATTTTAAGAATCTTGCCAACTTGGCACCTACAGCCCAAGATCTATCCAAAAGAATTTGCTAATTTAGATACGCCAGCATCTAAAGGTTGAAGCCCATCAGAAAAGGCTTTCTCAAGTTGTCACATAGTCAGTAAAAATCAAGAATGATCTTCATACAACTGACCAGGAGACACATGCACAAGCCAGTCGTTGCATGAACCTTTCCTTATTTATAATCCACCAGCGTTGAGAATTTGAAGCAGACTGAATCAGACGTTCTGAAGTTTTAAAAGAAAATCTTGGAATGCAACAAATGTGTCAACTACTGAAAGGTGCTCCTATGAGGATATCGAATAAGTGTATAACCCTGTAGCAGAACGTGCATAAAGCAAGTGGAATGAGAGACGGTTGATGGAACACGTGGATCAGTGCCATGTAACAGAAATAAGGAAACAGTGAGAACGTGCTTCATAAAGAACAAACTCTGTAATACAATATTAAAAGCATCAGAGACTTCAGGCGTCACAGGTCAACTATAAAATTGACTTTAAATGTGTGGATGAATAAGTGTTGAAGAAAGGTGTTCACAACACAACGTCACCCCAACACTGAGACATGCTTCGCTGGTGTGGTGTCCACACTGGAAAACTAACACAAAGTGGAGCTACGAAGTGATTAGTGAACCAACACAACAGGAGTGACACACTACAACACTTACAGTTATCGGAAGAAGAAGAAGAAGAAGAAGAAGAAGAAGAAGAAGAAGAAGAAGAAGAAGAAGAAGAAGAAGAAGAAGAAGAAGAAGAAGAAGAAGAAGAAGAAGAAGAAGAAGAAGAAGAAGAAGAAGAAGAAAGAAGAAGAAGAAGAAGAAGAAGAAGAAGAAGAAGAAAAAAAAAAAAAAAAAACAACAACAACAACAACAACAACAACAACAACAACAACAACAACAACAACAACAACAACAACAACAACAACAACAACAACAACAACAACAACAAACAACAAAATGGCTACCAGAGCTAAAAAAAATATTACAAAGCCTGAAATAATCTGCCGTGTCGTCTTTGGTTAATAAGGAGGGAAAAGAGAAGACCCATGCAACTGCAATTAGGTGAGTACAAGAACAGATCCATTTCGGCAACTGTGACCAGGGGCATCCCCACCATAATAATCCCAACCCCTAACAATCCTGCAGCTGTAGCTCAACACTTTCCAGGAACTACAGATAAACACTCAAGAGGCCCAGGAGCTGTAACATAACACACCCTCAACAGGCCCAGGAGCTACAACCTAACACCCTCGAGAGATCCTGGAGCTATAGCTCAACATCCTCAAGAGGAACAAAAGGTGGTCAGAGAGTAACAAGTGGGGTACTGCAAGCATCAATGTTAGGACCACTACTGTTCTTAATATATGTGAACGACCTATCGGAGGGGATCGACTCACACCTGTCACTGTTTACTAATGTAAAACTAACGAGAAGAATAAGAACGGGAGAGGACAGTGACAAACTCCAGGGAGACCTCAACAGACTGCAGACGTGGTCAAACAACTAGTTTCTAGAGTTCAATCAAAACAAACGCAATGTAATGTGATTTAGAGAAGGTGAAGGCAAGTCGCACACAAAGTACATGGGCGGAGAAAAACTGTAAATATCGAAGAAACGCTAAACTGTCAGCGACAACTGAGCAAAAATCAAAACAGCATTCAGGAACATGAATAAAGAATCCTTTAGAATTTTATATACGATATATGTTAAACATATCAGTGAGTACACGGCCCCAGCATGGAGCCCCCCCCCCACACCTGGTCAAGCACGTGAAGCTCGAAAAGTTCTAAACGTTTACAACCACAGCACCAGAACCGAGACATCATGAAACTGAAGCTGACAACTTTGACAGTGAAAAGGACATGGGGAGACATGATTACAACATACAAAATTTTAAGAGGAATTGATAGGGGAGATAGGGACAGACTATTTTAATGAAAAGGACCAAGATTAAAGGGACACTAGTGGAAGGTGAAGAAACGAGCCATAGTCTGGCTGAAAAGTGGAATGACTTGTATGAAAAATGGTGAAGGCAAACCCGATACACCTTCGAGAGTACACAAGATAATTCCCAAAAGCCCAGAAATCAGTGATAACGATCAGATCAGCCTAGAAAGCGGGGACAAGGAGGCAAGTCTCAACCCCCGCAAATACAAATCAGTGAGTACAAATCGGGTATGTACACACGTAAAAATTTAAATAATATTTTTTATGAAGTTATACAAAAAATTACAAGAAATATCAGGGTAACGGAGAATTTCGAGTTTCTAGGAACGAGTTGTGACGTTGCTGGAGGTTGTGGCCTGAACATGAAGCCAACAAGCAGGTATTACACACGGATAATAGAGAACAAGAATATTCTGACCGCATCATCGGGAAATAAACTTGATGAAGTGTTCGGAAACTCAATCTTGAGAGAAAAATCTTTCACTAAAAAGTTTTATTCTACATTACTGTGTTGATACCCACTGTGGTGGTGGAAGTGTCCTGTATCACTTCCCTGCTGGTGTTGTTGGTATCAGTATCCAGTGTCACTCGTACTCCCTTCACTACACCAACAATCACATTGGAAACTTTTTTATCAATACGAAAATAACAATCAATATTATCATCAGTGCAGCAAAGTGTCTAACAAATTAATGACCAGTGTTAAGCCATCATTTACCTTCGAGAAATGATACCTCTTCTTAAACAAGCTCTCACTGAGACAAAGTTTATCAGTATAGAGCTTTATCATGGTGACCTTATAAAGCTCTACACAGATTAAATCACTGTCCAAATGAGAGTGCTGAGCAACCTGTCTTCTTGGCCGTGATATGTCATCTAGCTGCAATTGCCTTCAAGTAACGTTTAACATGGTAATATAGTGGTAGAATACCCTGAGAGCAGGTAAATAGGAGATAATGCGATATATGACATTTTATTTGGGAAAACATTTCCTCCACTGCGGACTTCGTTAATTATAAAGTCAATACTGGAAGAAGCGTCTTTAGATAAAATGCAATAACTCGCACTATGTGCCTCATTCACAACACCTGACATTGACGGCGGACGGACTGACTGATGGTTTAGAAATTTCTGTCGTCACAAGAGTAGTGAGGCTGAAGGCCAGACCTCACACAGTGAAGGCTCTTTACGTAGTTTCATACAATCTTAGAAGGGTAAATGTTATGCAGGTTTCTGCAGTGAAGTTATAAAGTAAGGTGTTTATTGTTCTAATGTTTTTGTGAAAAAGAAATGCTTTATAATTTTATAAACAACGTCATCAATTTGTGGATGCTTTTAGGGAGTGAAGTCACGGCGTGACTACAGAAGTGTGACTATTGTGATAGTCTCCCAGGACAGCGTAGTGTAGCATGTTACAAAGTTACCTTGGAGGTAAGGGGAAAGGTAAAATACCTTGTCTATGGGTATATATAAAAAATTTAACTATAAACACCTTATTTTATAAACTTTACATGACTAGAGAAACCTCCATACCAGCAAGGATTTCTTGCCATTGTTTACATCAGCAAGAGAGAGTTAAACTTGTAGTGGAGACACCACCTGAGGGATGGAAGGTGATCAGGTTTGATTCACAGAAGCAAGCTCTAATTCCTGTAATGGAAAACCCTTCACTGGCTTTAAAACTGCCCTGAGAGTTATGACCATGCATATCAGATGAGTTTAGTGATTATTAGTTCTGTACTCGATGAGTTGACCTTCGAAAATGTCAAATTTTGCATAAAAATAAACCGATCGTTTAGTTATATTAACACAGACATTTAGAGACACATCCTTCTGCTGATTTATCAGTTTCCTTCATTAACCATTAATTTTAATATCTGACAGGATCTTTAAAATAATTCTTTGGATAATTTTTAAGAACATATATATATATATATATATATATATATATATATATATATATATATATATATATATATATATATATATATATATATATATATATATATATATATATATATATATATATATATATATATATATATATATATATATATATATATATTATATATATATATATATATATATATATATATATATATATATATATATATATTATATATATATATATTATATATATATATATATATATATATATATATATATATATATTATATATATATATATATATTATATATATATATATATATATATATATATATATATATATATATATATATATATATATATATATATATATATGTATGCAATAAGATCACAGTAAACAGGTGATTTCAGAATATGCAAAACAACCACTGTGAAAGAATAGAGAAATTCCAAGCGCTTTCGTGACTACTCACATTATCAAGGAACAATGAGTAGTCACGAAAGCGCTTGGAATTTCTCTATTTCTTTCACAGGGGTTGTTTTGCATATTCTGAAATCACCTATTTACTGTGATCTTATTGCATATATATATATATATATATATATATATATATATATATATATATATATATATATATATATATATATATATATATATATATATATATATATATATACATATACATACATACACACACGTGTGTGTGTGTGTATGTGTATACATGGGCAAGGTCCTGCTGACCAGTCATGTCAATAGTTACTTCGTTTATTATCTAACTATTAACATCACTAGTTACCCAACTAGTGAGCACAATAGTTAACTAATGTGTATATTAGCTAATTTACCAGTTAGTTTTGTGCTAGCTAGTAAACTAGTGGATCAAGGAAGCTGTGACTCCTCCTAGCTAACAGTGAGAAGAATAAAACTGCAGTTTACACTCACATTAATATTGGTATGTAACCTTTAATGTAAGAATGTGGAGTCGTAGGTGTAACCCTGTCTCTCTTTAGTGTGTCAGATGTGTAGCCTAGTGTCACGTGTGGTCTTGTTTCACGTGTCATGTATGTGTAGCCCTGTGTAACGTGTCATGTGTGTACCCTTGTATCACGTGTCATGTGTGTAGCCATGTGCCGCGTGTCATGTGTGTAGCCTTGTCTCACGTGTCATGTGTGTAGCTTTGTCACGTGTATTGTCCCTTATATGTATAGATTTATACACAGTGTTAACGGCGTCACCTGTCTAATAGTTAAGATGTGAAGTTTAATATATCAACTAACCTAATTTCAGTGTCAGAAGAACAGTTCAGGGTGTCAATTTCTCCCTCCAGTGTGAGAAATCTCTCTCTCTCTCTCTCTCTCTCTCTCAGATGTATATATAAGTGGGAATCATACTAATCCCGTGTATTTATTTTGATAATTCACGAATATTTTGTACAAATAAAGTGACTAAAATTAAAATTGATTTTTAATAACATGACTAATCTAGAATTAGGTGAGGTAAGGTTTGCCAGGAAACAGTACAAGTGTTTCCTGACGAGGGTCTTAGCCACCTGATGACCCGCAGCTGGAGCTTTTGGTCCTCTGACCGAGGCCTTCCGCTGGCTTACCCCTCCATCCCTTTAAAAACCATGTTTATGATTATAACCATTAGAAACGTAGAATTTTCACTAAAAAAGTCATTAAAAAATGCAAATGTTAATATATTTAACAACTGTGAGGTGTATCTCAGTGCATATATGCTGAGAGTTTATTTTAATCCATATTTTTGGGATTAAAGTATTCTTGTTTGGTAATGAAAATGTTGCATGCAGCCTCAACGACTCTGGTGTAGTGGATAGGCTTTAAACCCCAGTAACCAACGAAACCAAGAAAACATGACCTTGAATAATATGTGATGGTCTACGCTTAGGTCATGGACAAACTGATACACTGTAACAAGATGCTCTTTAAAGGAGTGGTGC